GGGGGGGCGCCTACTACTACTGCTACTACTACTACTACTACTACTACTGTTGCAGTAGCAGAAGTAATAGTCCTAACAGAAACAGCAGTAGCAATAGCAATTGCAGCAATAGTAGTAAGTCTTGGAGCAGATAAAGAAATCTGAAACCCCAATCCCTAAAACCTAAACATGGAAGCACCATGTGCCAGGACCCGCTTTGATTCGATTTCGGAGATGGTGCGCAACCACCGAGCCGTCTTCAGGGAGAATACCATTTTGGGGGGCTCTGGAGCCTGGGACTTCAGGGTTTACGGCTTCAGGATTGTGAGGCATTTGTGTTCAGAGTTTTACATCTGGGGTTGTAAGGCCCAATCCCTACACACCCCAATATGACCCATTATAGTAGTTTCCATTTTCTTTTCCATTATCCCTAAATATCCTATTATAACCCTTATAATCCTTATATAACCCCACTAATCTGCCAGTAGTACTTTGGAGGGTTCGGGGACCTGGCAACTGCGGAGTAGACAGAAGGGTACCTTGCCATTTTGAAGGATTTACCAGGCTGGATGTAGCGCTTCCTAGTACTTTGTGGAACCCCTCGGTTTCTAGGAGTTAGGGTTTGTTATTTGCATTACTACTGGGTTAGATAACCTGGAGGATCCCTCAAAGTAGTTGCCCGGAATGGGTTCGAGTTCTGTCTTTGAGTTTAGGCTTACGCTTTGAGAGTTGGAGTAGCAGGGGGTACTTCGTAAGTGCGTAGGCGAAGAATGGGAAGAACTGGGGGGATTCAAAACCTTGAACCACTTAAACCCTAAACCCCAAAACCCTAAACCCTATAATCAGCTTTTGGGGGTATGTGATGGCGCTTCACCGCCCCAGGGTCTTCATGTAGTACTGACACCTATGCAGACGCCTCAATACTTAAGGGTCCTGGTCCAAGTCAGCAGATAGATCTTTGCAGAACGCCGTGTCCTTGTGGAGCTTCTCACCACGGTACAAGGAAAATATTGGAATCGAGGCTCTTTATTGAAACTATTGAAGCACCTTGGGCAACTTTGAGTTTACCAGATGAATTTGAGCAAGCTTCGCTCGTTACAATATCCGAATCTTTCTTGCTTTTGGAACTGAGCTGTTTATGTAGATCCCCGAGCCTCCACTTTGAGTCCCAAGGCAATGAACACTTTCTACCTAACATTGCAGTTCCGCCCTTCAGAACTGACGAAGATGCTGCACAGAACATTCAGGCTTGTGTGGAGGGATCCGGATGTCGGGAATATCCAGGGGAGAACCTAAGTACCCTAAACCCTAAACACTAAACCCTAAACCCTAAAGCCACCTGCAGCCTGCTTCAAGTGAAGTCCGACTAGGTGGCTGGGTTTAGGGTTGAGGGCTTAGGGCCTTAGGGTTTACAACTTAGTTTGGCCCAGAGCGCACTTTGGAGAATGCAATATGTAGCAGCACAAGTATCACCCAGCACCGGATTCACAATTTCATTTTCCATTATCCCAGTATAGCCCCAATATACTATGGAGGATGGATCTAGCAGAAAGAATACCAGGGCCCAAGGTTGGCTTCAGGCGTTTTGTTCTCGGTCTAGGGCCCAACAACTTGTACGTTGTTGTCATGTTGCGGCATGGGCAGCTCCAAAATCGGGTCCATAGACTGCATGTCTAGGCACTCAAAATAAAGGCGCCCCTCATTCGGCCATGTGCTGTTGGCCCCCTCCTTCCCGGATTCGGGCAGAAGGCTGGCAGCTTGCATTGAGGGCTTTTGAATCATTACTGGTTCTCAGTAGGGAATGATGAAATATACTCCCTTTTTCACACCAATTTTACATATCCCTTTATTCCTTTTAATATCTATATATCTATATATCTATATGATTATTTATATATATATATATGCAAGATTTTTTGCAGGGCACACAGTATGACGACGAATGTAATACTGGAGGGCCGTTATAGGGAGGAGGCAGTAATGAGGCCTGAGGGCCTAGGTGTCTTACTAGGGATGCGTGATTTTTCTCAGAAGTTAGGCTCCAGGGGGGTTGCGGTTTAGGCTATGAGGCTGCAGCATACAGCGCTTCATAGTTCCATACCGATCTACAGCAAATCTGTGTGTGTGTGCGCTTTTGTTGGTATGAAGGCCACCAGGTTGTGGAACTCTTGAAAGTACAGTTGTCATTCGTTGGTTGTAATCCCCTTCATGCAAGACGCCCACCTAGAACTGTAGTGCACGTGAATCTTCAAGCAGGTTTCAGGATCCAGAACTTAGTCTGTTGAGAGTGGGTTCTTAGGCTTGTGATATGGCTTTGCATTTTGGTGTCTCATGTGTGTATACCATAGGTATCTGCATATGCATGTATGCATGCATATATTCCTTGTGTGTATGCCTGGAGGCTCACTGGCATTGGCTTTTATGTCGCAAACCTTGCTTGGCTCAAGAGGGCAGGAGGACAAAACTGGCTACGGAGGTCATCCTTTTGCTGGTGCGCATCCGAGTCACCTTTTCCGCTTTCGAGCTCAAGGTTTAGGGGCTTTCTCGTAGCTTCAGTGGCAGGTATCTTGAAACCTTAGACAGTATGTAAGGTGCGGTATTGATGAGGGTGCAAGATTCCATGCTTAGGGCTGGGGGTCTAGGTTCTGATCATTTGGGTGTTGGGGCGTAGGAAGGGTTTAGAAGCTTAGTGGCTTTTGGGACAAAGGTTTAGGCTTTCTCCAGCCACGTGGGGGGCAACAGATGACAGAAGAGCATGGGGCTGCCTCGCTAGGTGCTGGAATGCCTGGAGGCTAACTAAGCCCTGAAGCCAAACTCCGACTGACCATGGCTCAGAATGGCAAGACTGCAAGAACCTGTTGAATGACCAACTCGGTGTCAAGGCATCAGCGCAAAATGCCCTCAACGATCCAAGAGGGTTCTGCCTTCTGCGTGAACTGCATACGCAGTGGCTTGACAGGGTCAGGAAGGTCCAGTTGCAAGCAGAAAGCAGGAAGCCTGCAATGGAGGCGCTTCATTGCAAAGCGTATGGCTTCTGCGCTAGGCCGGATTTCATCGGGAGTAAGGCAGCATAATGTAGTAGCTTGAACGATGACTATTTGTATCCACTTGTATGTATCACTACAGTAGCATCAATCCCCCCAAAACCCCGCTCTAGATTCGTATATAGGCTTGTACCAAAATGAGACCCCGAACCCTAAATCCTAAACCCTAAAGCCCAAACCCGAAACCGCGCGAAGCTATATTCCCCAGGCAAGCTCGTGAGCGCTTCACAGCCTTTTTGGAATCCCTTGATTCGGTTTAGGGTTGAAAGTTTAGGGTTTAGGGTTGAAAGTTTAGGGTTTGGGGTTTGGGGTTTAGGGTTTAGGGGCGCAGGTTTGAACAGGATTTTCGCTTTTTTATATCCCCTAATCCCTATATCATCCCTATGAAGCAAGAGAAATCAACTTTTTGATAGGGCAAGCCTACCCTACTTTATGGTTTAGGGGAACTCGCCATGCCTTGAACTTTAACACTGGACACGCAGCCCTGTAGGGTTTGTCTGGTTGCCCTCTTGGGGTGCCAAAAATTATGGAATAGAGACCCAACATGAGACCCTAATTTCCACACTTAACGCAGATAAAGAATGCAAGGTTTCCGCTACTATTCACCTTCCCCTAAACCCTAAGCCCTAAACCCTAAACCTGAAACCCTGGGCCCTAAACCTGCGAGGTAAGAAGCATCCCAAATCCTCAACGCTAAACCCTGAGCCCTAAATCCCCAAACCCAATGCCAAGACGAAGAAGAATGCTGCTAATACTATTAATACATATAATAGCAGTAGTAACAAATCTATACAAGGTAGTTTCCCAAAGTAGGGGGGCCCTAAGCATCGACCCTAACATACTAGAATCGTTATTATGGTGACCCCCAAAATGGTACCCCTAATTTCGGGAAGCCCTAAACCGCAAACCCTAAACTCTGAGCCTTAAACATTAAACACTAATCTTTGGGAAGCTCCCTACTACCCCAAAGACATTCAGACAAAGAGCAAAATTTCTAAGCATGACCATTGGGCCAAATATTACCCTAACATAACCCCAATATTACCCTAATATACACCCAAGAACCCTAAACCCTAAACCCCAAACCCTTATTTACCCCCCTAAACCCTAAACCCTAAACCCCAATATTACCCTCATATACCCCCAAGAATACCCTAACATAATCCTTTTTGGGCCCAGGTTGATCCGATCGCCCTGGCTTCTCGTCAGAGAGGCTTCGACCAAAAATCTGCTTTGGAGATGTTATAACGTTATGGGGATTATATAGGGAATTAGGGTTTAGGGTTTTAGGGGTAATGGAAAAGAGAATGGAAGCTACTATTTAGGGTTCAGGGGTTTAGGGTTTAGGGGTTTAGCCATAGTCTAAACTCCTTAAAGGGGGGGTTCTACAGTGGAGTTTTAAAGGGTGATTATATTTTGCTACCAGGAGTGTAGACTATAGATCTTGTATGTGTAGATAGGGTTGCAGCGACCTTTTTACAGGGGATGCAGAGATGGGTTTAGGGTTTAGGGTTTGAGGTGTTAGAGGCATAGATAGGGTTGTAGAGACCCTTTAAAGCGGATGTGGAGATAGATTCGGTTTTGGAAGTTTGCGGCTTTCGCGGTTTAGAGGATGTCTGCTTGGGTGCGCGGGATTTGGGGTTCACGGTTCACGGTTTGAGGAGGTTTGGGAATGGGGATTTGGGGTTTGGGTGTTTTGGCTGGGTTTGGCGGTTTGAGGGGTGCGGTCTGGAGGGTGTGGTGGATCGAGGGTAAGGGGTTTGCGGGTTGGAGGGTTGGGTTTACAAGTTTAAAGATTGAGGATACACGGACGTATGCTGTTTGTGTCTTCAGTGTTCAAAGGTTGGGTTTTAGGTTTCCAAAGTGAGGATTACTATAAGGTTATAGGGATGATTTAGGAATATACGAGGATATATAGGGTTTAGGATTTAAGGTCTAGGGTTTACGGGCTGGTGCGCAGGTTCGGGGACTGGTGTCCCGGTTCGGGCCTTCATGGTTCAGTGTGAAGGTCATTGGGGTCCATAGTGTCAATAAGGATGCCAATAATAAGAGGCTAATGAGAGGAACACACTAGTTCTGAGCAGTTTGCTCACATGAGTAGTTCCCCACATTAGGTACCCGTGAATATTAGGTGCCGTATTATAATCTAGCATGGGTAGGGAGGAGGGATGGTGAAGGGATCGTAGATTTGGC